TCAACGACGGGAGGGGGTAGAAGAGCGCAGAGATTAATAAAAACTCCCTCGCAAGCGTACAGGAGTAGACCAATGCCAGCGTCGAAGACGGGCAAAGGTTATGGCGGCACACGGGGTGCAAGGGCGGGCCTCCTACAAGGGGCCACGCTAGGGTAGCTGGCCGCAATCCCAAAGGAAAGCCTCGGGCCAGAACGCCTCATGTGGGGGCCTTGATAATTGGAATAGGATTTTGGGGTATATTCTACTATAATTATAATAAGGACCCCCCCTCCAAACAAAAAAAAAAGAGTATTGGCAGTTGGCTAGGCCCCTATAGTACCTAATCTACAACAACATCTAGAGTCTAGAGTTTAGAGCCCTGAGTTGCGAGGCAGGAGGATGGCTTCGCAGAATGATGCCATACGCTGCTCAGAAAAAGAGGAACGGTTGATGATGTAAACCCTGCGTTACCCGCAAAAAAGGAATATACCATAATTTCCGCAGTTGTAGGATCCTTAAGGTAATGCAGGATTTATATCAGCGACAGAATCAATGCATGAGTCGAAGGCTCGTTCCAAAACGGTACTGGCTGTTGTCCTGGCCCATGTGCAAGATTCATCCTGCTGATCCCTGCTACTTGTTTCAACCGAAAACGTCACACCTCAGAGGAACTGGCAGAGAACTGGCAAGAACCCGGTCGTCGGATGCAGTCATCTAACTAACTGGGGCGCCAATCCAATGCGCAATCCACGTGACCCTGACGCGTACAATGTTTCAACCAATAACCGTCTTGAACACGGAGCAAGTGTAGGCTAAGCGCGAGAAGATATGAGACAACTCCGCAACACACAAGCCCTTGCCGAGCGTGCCTGGTCATCACTGCCAAAGACGTCGAGCCTGACCGCAGCAAGCTTAGGAGCCGTCTTGGGACACGCGCTTTGTCCAGACAGAACCCTGACCAGCTGAATCCGCAACCGCCAAACTGTAAAGACATTCCCGTTTTACTATATACGTATAAGTATTTACACTCCCAAATATTGGCACGCACGCACGTCATCTGGTAGGAGAGCTCTGGAATCTAAGCTCAGACTTATTTACGACTTAGCGATGGCGCGCGCACGCCTGAACTGCAGAACCCTCGGCGCTGCCCTAATTCGCGAAAGCTTGAAACCAACAAGCCAAGCACCTCCTACGGAACTTGTTAGTCACAGTCAAAAACCCCAAACCCTAAACCCAAAATCCCCAAATTAGGGTTTAGGGTTAAAATCCCTAAAGCCCTAAAGCCTAACCCCTAAACCCCTGAAGCAATCAAAACCCACAAAGCCCTCAGCCCAGCGACTCGCTCCGCTGATTTTCCCGGAGCTTCCTCGGCTGGAGGCTGACCCTGGACTTCTGAACTTGGAGGTTCATGGCTAGTTATAACAAACGGGGCTACTACAAGGGTTTGGGTTTAGGGTTTAGGGTTCATGGGTAGTTATAAATGGGGTCACTATACGGGTTTGGGTTTAGGGTTTAGGGTTCATGGGTAGATATAGCTGGGGTTGTAAGTAGGGTAACTACACTTATAACCCATATTAGGCAACTTTGTGAAGACCACTTATAAGTACCCATGAACTTCCAAGAACCCATAACCACTGCGGGTTCAGTTGCGGTGATTCGGTGTTGGTTTTCGTTCAGGATTTCGTGTTTTGATGTACTGGGAAGTAACCATTTGTTGGTAAGGTCGTTGGCCAATACGCGTTGTGATGCTTCGTGGGTGATGATGGCAAGGACGACGACTAAGATAACGCAACAAAAACTATTGCTGCTCCTGTGTGCTAACCTCAGTCTTGCTGCAAAGGTGGTTTACCGTGTGCGTACTCCAGATGGGTTTCCTTCGATATAGAACGGTATTCCCCCCCACACCACCCCCGCATGAAGGCTCTGTCACGGTGTGGTTCAGGGTTACAGTTAGAGTTTGGATTCTGCGGTTTAGGCCTCAGTGACACAAGTACTCATACTCGATGAGGTTTAATGGGTTGGATACTTAAAGTATCATGGGACTTAGTAAGTAGGGTTATAATTACGGTAACTATACTTATAAGCCCAACTAAGGGACTTATAACCTTACTTACTAAGTCCCATGATCCTCCTAAACCTTAAACCCTAAACCCTAAACCCTACACCCTACTTACTAAGTCCCATGATCCTCCAAGTACCTGCGGCTGAGCAGCTCGTTGGCAAGGAAGAGCAGCTGCATAGTCAGGGTGCCATGCCACAATCCTGTTCGAAATTAGGGTTTAGGGTTTAGAGTTTAGGGTTTAGGGTTTAGGGTTGTGCTGCACATTAGCAAGGCTCCTGTATAATATAATTATCATCAGGAACCCTAACAATAGTATTGGCCAATTATCTAAGCTTCAAGAGTAGAGGGGCCTCGTCTATGGGATCAGAACATGGGGAATCCCAGTGTCGAAGCCTAAAATCGGACACTTAGTACAAGGACCCTGGAGTTTTAAAGATCATGGGACTTAGTAACTGGGGGTATTATTGGGGTAACTATGACTATACGTATAGTTACTTATAACCCCAAGATGCATACAACACTTTGACAAATAACTAGAATCCAATACACGTATGCGCCCATATACCTGTATGTATATGTACATGTATTTGCATTTGTATATGCGTATGTATATGTATATGTATATGTATATGTCTGTCGGTCTCTGTCTGTCTCTGTCTCTGTCTCTGTCTCTGTCTCTGTCTCTGTCTCTGTGAATCAACCCTCATTGAAGCCTCTGCCTTGGCACCAAGCCCACAGCGCGGACTCTTATAATAACTAACCCTGAAGCCCTACCCATAGGCCCCATACTAGTTCCTTTTGGTGGCTTATATTTAGGATCCTATTGGGGCATCCTGACTGTTTCTTCTGTCTGCCTGGCTGTCCGTCTGCCTGGATGTCTGCCTGTCTGTCTGAGAGCCTGTCTGTTTGTCTGTCTGCCTGTTTATATGTATAACCCAATGCTTCCAAGGACCTTATAGTGAGGGCCCTAGACCCCTTAAGGACCCAATAATGAGGTTCCTGGAAGCATAGGGTAATGTAGGGGGCCTGAATAGTTAGAATAGGGCTAGGGTGAGCGCCTTCGCTTTCAGAGTAGAGGGTCTATGTTTGTGAGACTGCCGAGTTCCAGTCGTTGGGTTTCGGGCTTCGTGGCTTACCCTTAACCCTAAACCCCAAACCCAGTTGGTGTTTCGGAACTTCGGGCCTCAAAGCCCACCGCAAACTCTAAACCCTCAACTTCTCAACCTTACGGCCTTAGGAGGAGAAGCGCCGTACCAAAGGGGCCGCAGTATTTAGAACTGCGTCATGGGGGTAGGTGAGAGTAGTTGTGTTAGGCAGTATTTTGGGGCAGGCGATAGTATGATTGCATTCGGCGTCATCATAGAAGAGGAACACAATACGACCTGTCCCAGCCCCAAAGCCTAAACCCAGGCAGATTCCGTATAGAAGTCTTAACAGCACCTTTCACGAGATATATGTATGTCATGTAATGTAATGTGATGTGACGTATTGTAATGTAATGCAAGGTAAGGTAAGGTAGGGTAACGCACTGTACTGCATGTGTGTATGCATGTGCGTCTGTATGTATGTATGTATGTATGTATGTATGTATGCATGTACGTATGCATGTACGTATGTATGTATGTATGTACGTATGTATGTACGTATGTACGTATGTATGTATGTATGTATGTATGTATGTATATATATATATACCCTGGTATTCCCGGGGCCGCTGTTTTGAGGGACTTGGTGCTGAGGACGCCATATCCAAGGACTCATGTTCAGCTCACGGGTATATGGGGCCTTCAGATTTTAGATGCTTTTGCACAGGCACAAGAAAGAGATCTTTTCCACTTCGATCCGCTGAAATCTTGTCGCAGCTAGCTTCTGTTGCCATCGCGCTGAGCACGTCGTCTCGCACTTCGCTTTGCAAACAACAAACGGCGATGATTTTTCAACGCCGCAAGTCTGGAAATCGACTTCTTCAAGACCGAGTGTTCAAACGTGGGAGGATTTGCTTTGCGAGATAGCAGCTTCGTCCACCGCATGGCATCTTCGTCCGTAAAGCAATGATGAAACCTCATGTTCATACCTTAGCTGCCGTGCCATGCAAAGAACGCAGAAGTCCGACTGCTTGTCGAAATTATCGCATTAAATATATACGCCCAGATACAAGTTCGCTTTGTCTCCAGCAGCTGGTGCTCAAAGTAATGCAGTTTTGGTGTAACATGCCAGGTGAGTTCCGCCTGCCTTCGTAAAGGGAAAGGGAAATCCAAACTTCGAGAAAAAATCCTTACATACATCATCGAAAACGGAAAGCCCGAAACCCTGACCTCACCGAAACCTGGGCGAGATCCAGGGAGGTCTTGATGAAAAGCATGCCCTCGTGATAAATTTGATTCGCTTCCTCTGGCTGCAGCAGTCGCGGCAATCGCTCGGAGATACCGAAAAATCTGGCCAGCCCAGTCCTGAGTTTAAACAGACTAAGCGCAAGAACTTAACAATTGCAAGTCAGTATCATCAGTTGATAGCAAACAACAGGAAATAATGAATTTCAGACAAGATTCATGGCAACTGCTTGCATTGGAATTTTGGGATCCGTAGGAAAAGCTGCGGCTCCTGCACGCACCTGCCCAACCAGCCATGCCCCAAAGCGGCGTGAGAACCCAGCTGCAGGCTGTTGCGACACAGCCAGTCGCGAAACTGAAGCCAAGTACTCCAGCACGATCCGGCCATTCCAAGCCTTGCAGCTCATTGACGGTGCACGTAAGCCTCCATCTTTCTTCTTCATAATCTGAGGTCCGTTCCCAAATGAAAGAAAAGCGAATCAAAAGCGAAACAAAAAAAAACATGAGAACATGACCCCTTAACCCACGTCACTAGGCTCGATAAATACAAGGCACCAGCCCATACTTGAACTTTCGCTGGGAAGAATAGATCTTCATTTCTTTCAACCATGCTCTGAAGTCGACATAGGCTGTCAAGAAAAGCTTTTCGAGGTCTTGAGAAGGATCCCCATACCAGCCGGCTTTTGCCAACGTGTACCTTGGACATATTCTTTAAGAACCGTAAACAATCTGAATTTCACCAGATCCGACACGGAACCCCGGAATACTGAACTCGAAGCCCAAGCACAAGCTTGAGCCGTTCGCAATGAACACCAGTCCCAAATTGAGGTTGTGCATCCCGCACATGCGGATGACATCAAGGTCGAAGTTCGGAAGAAGTACTAATGGGCCTCAGAAAGAATGCTCATGATGTTATGATCTCTGTCCGCCAAGAAATGTCACTATGAGCTCTAAACCAAGATTATCGAGTCACACAAGTTGTCCAAAGGAAGCTTTTCAACCATCCAAGTGAGAAGATCTCGGTAGATAGTTGCTCTCCATGGCGCCTGCTCTCCCGAGTGGGTGTACAGCATCTGCTGATTGCGCCCGGTCTGTGTAGCATTGCAAAAGAAGCAAACTTTTGTCGACTTCCAGCCGTCAGGAAATCCCCAGATCAGTTTGTGCCACCCGAGATCACCACGTAGCTCCGTCACGAAAAATTCAGCCCCCAATGGCTTGCCCGCATTCTGCGCTTGCTCTGGCGGCAAAGGCTCTCCATGCATTCCCCGATCAGGGAACACCCCCCTGCTGGCCCAGCCCAGAGACCACACAATACGTTCAAAAATTGGAAGAAGTGTTGTGTTGCCAGGCAGCATCAACTTTGTCGTACGAAAAGCACAGATCAGAAATCGGCTCAAGCGGATACTTCGAGGTCTGAACAGAACCAAATTAAGAAAAATCCCAAGCACCTTTTCTTGTGATTCATGGAGGCCATATTTTGTCTCGTCAGCATATAATCCAATCGGAATCGCATTCCAATTTGCTTGCTTCGTAGCCCAGCCAAGTCCTTTGGCTGCACCGAACTGCCAATAACGTCGGACAATGCTCTGGTCGACCGTCAGGCCAACGACCGAATGGATATAATGTAACACTTCGTGTGGGTAAAGCAACGGAATATCCATCATGTCGTATGTGCTGGTAGTATTGGGCTGTTGGGGAAGAACCGGAACTTTGACGAGCTTGGGCTCCTTTTGGGGAGGCATCATCTTGAAAATTATTGCGCTCAATTTCCGGGCCCTGAAACTTTGTGGTGTCATCCCCCATACCTTCAAAAAATACCAGTCTAGATGCTAGATATGACGTTGGAAAACCCACAGGATTTAAAGCGATAAGCTCCCTTTACCCTATTTTATAATTAGCCAAGATGCCAGCGGCATTTCCACCGACTTATAGAAATCTCTGGAAGCATTCTTCCCAGAAAACTTGGCCAGCTTCTTCGTTACACGGGAGCATCTGCCTTTGCTTTCCTGAGAAGCAGGAGTCGCGACAACACGTTTCAAACTTATTGAAACTTCTGCACCCAGAAAGAAAAGCCAAGCATCTTCATGCATCGTCTTGGCTGATTGCATCACACTGTGGGCGCTGTCGCCCTCAGTTATTCTCTCAGATCTGTTGATCATTTGGGGGAAAGGAAGTCTATTGCGGCTGAGACACAAAATCGCCGATCTTTTCCAACCATTCTTGAAGGCCTGGTCCATCATCTTCGTCACCTGCGGGGTCAAATGATGCTTTCGAAAATAAGATATCTGATGCTCTTGATGATCTTTCAGCATGCATTGGCATCTTTTTTCCTGCTGTTCTGCACGACTTCGCAGTTGGAACCCATGCGTGATTCCCGGATCTATGGAATCGTGCAGCCCTTTCCAGAAGAAGCCGTGCTGAGCTACGGAGCATCTGAAGATTTGTAGTCTCAAACCCCGAAGATTTCAAATTGCCCAGCTGCGGCTAGTTCCACAGCTAGGATCGGAACACTCGCACCATAAACTCAGGAGCTTGAGGCACAGGCGACAGGTTTGTGGCAACCCTAAACTTGAATACTATTTACTATTCAGAGTAGCATACTAGGACAACTGAGGATATTGGGTGCGGAGGTCTACTTATGAAGTTCATGCGAGTCCAGGGTTTGTAGGGTTCATGAGACAGCGATAAATATAACGTAGCAAATCCTGCAACCGTAGGACCTTGGGATTTGTGGCAAACTCGGATGAGGCTGTGAGGGTAGGTCTTGTTTGATTATTTAATATAGTCCTATGCTTCAGGCTTCAGACGTCTCAGATTAGGGTCCCTGTTCGGAGAGGGTTTTCCGGTTTAGGGCTTTGGGGCTTTAAGGTTAAGGCATTAGGGGCTTAGGGTTTATCGGATTGAGGAGAAGTTAAAATCGAGATGTGTAGTTCCGGGATAAATAGTTGTAGGCACGAAGTCGCTCAGTCAAAGCTGCCATTGAGGCTTGGAATCTGAGAAAGACGAACACTACACAAACACATTCCCCTAATATTCTAAATCTGATTGGACCCTAAACTTGCAATAAACTGGACCCTAAACTCCCGCTAAAACTCAACACCTTGAACCCTAGCACCCTAAAGCCTTACAGTCCTAAAGAAGCCCACCCTAAAGACCCTAAAGCCCTAAAGTTAAACATCAAGATGTGTAATTCCGAGATAAATAGTTGTAAGAACGAAGGCAGCTTTGAGGCTTTTAATCTGAGGAACACGAACACTGCACAAGCACAATCCCGAAGTATTCTAAATCTGGTTGGACCCTGAGCCTCCAATAAACTCTGGCCCCTAAATTCCCGCTAAAACTCAACACCTTGAACCCTAGCACCCTAAAGCCTTACAATCCTAAAGAAGCCCACCCCAAAGACCCTAAAGCCCTAAAGCCAAATACTTATGTGTGTTGCCGCTCGGTTTGCGAATAAATCGGGGTTCTTGCAACAACCGATAGGATATGTGCTAACACTTGGGCCGCTCAGGCCCGTTCCCTAAAGCTATTTAAACAAAAGTCATGCCTCCAGAAGCCCTCATGAGAATATGCGGCTTTGCCGTCGCGATGCACTACTTCGCTTTCTTGGCTTTGGCTTTGGCAGCCAGGGTCTTAGCACACTTGGCAGCGTCTTCAAAGCTCTGGACTGCACTTTGCAATGACGATATCAAATCCTCCAGCTTGTCGTAGTCCTGCGGGAGATTCATAGTGTTGCAGATATGCGGTCTTTCGTTCTAGCACGGGATCCCCACCTTCTTGTCCACTGCGTCTTGCAGATCTGCACGGTTGCCTTTGATGCTGTCGAGAGACTCCTCGCAGTGAGTGACAAGAATGATAATAGTGGCACTACAGATGCTGCACCCGAAAACCCTAAACCCTGAACCCCAAATACCAAACCCCAAGCCCTTCATCCTAAACCTAAACCCTGAACCCCAAATGCCAAACCCGGCCGTTCACACCTTAAACCCCCACTCCTTCAGGTCTCTCTCTGCGGCTTCGCGGACGTTCGGGCCCCTGGGGATCAGAAGGGGTTCGAGTTTAAGGTTTAGGATTTACGGGTTAGGTTGTACTGGCTTCTAATGAGGAACTGGGCTTGAGGGCTGAGGATTCAGGGTTTCGGTTTCAGCGGTTTGCAACGAAGGCATGATGATTACAAGGGTTTCGGGACTTTTGGTTGGAATTAGCATCCGGGGTTTTATTGGTTCGTCATGCAAGGACCATGAATACTGAGCTCAAGGCAAGATCGAGCAGTCTTCTTCAGCAGCCTTGTAATCTTGAATCTTCTTGCCAGCTTTGGTGATGACCTTATCATGTGCGCTTGCGGGCTTTTCAATTTTGGGGCGGTATGGGATAAGGCTGAGACTCCCCTTGCTTTGGAGAGCTTCTTCTTGTCTTCTTCATCTTTCTTCTTCAGTTCGTCTAGCACCTCATCCGCGACTTCATCTTCCTTGGCAGATTTCTTTGTTTTTTGTTGCTTCTGTTTCTTCTCCTTCTTGGCCTTCTTGGCCTTCTTTGTTTTATCTTTCTTGTCTTTGCTGTTCTTCTTGTTCTTCTTGTCCTACAGAAGCCCCAATAGACTGATGGTGTTAATGTAGCAATCCCCAAGATGGCTTTAGCTGCCTGGCACAATCAAGAAGAATATCCTGTACTTAGAAGGATCTATAACCCTAGCGATCAAGAAACGGCACAGAAAACAACTGCAAAGCCGCCAACATGATGCGCCTTCTTGGCCTTCTTTGACGAGGCCTCGGAAGACGTGGAAGACGAGGAAGAGTCCACGTCGGCGGCCTGGTACAGCTGCTCCATAATCTCCTCTTCCGTTTCCACAAACTTCGAAGTGTCCAGGATTAGGTACTGCACCAATTCATCCGAGTCCGGTAGCTCTGGGTGGCGACGAATCTCCGTGGCCTTCAACTTCTCATCGGATTGCTTTCGAAGGATTATCGCGTCTGCTGATACTTCGCCGAATTTCCCGATGACCTCGGCACGTGTCATCCATACCCGAACCCCCGTCCTCTGGGTACTCTTGATGTTCTTGAGGTTGAGATAGATACTGGATGTTTTCCAGTTCCCGTCGCACTTCTCCCAGGCTTCGAATAAGATCGAATTCATCGCAGAATCTTGGTGCCGAGTAATCAGACATAGGTCGTTGACAAATAATATATGATATATTATCTCTTAAAGCCACATCCCTAAGCCAAGACCCGATCCACGTCCGAGGCGTGGAGATTCTGGGATGCGTGTCGGCCGCGACAAGAGGCTGACAGCTTTCGATTTCATATTCCTAGGAGCAGTATCCAGAACCTGCAGGGCCTGAAGGCTTTAAGGGCTTGAAGATTCAGAATCTAAGGTTTATAAGGCCAGGGTTTGGGGGTTTGGGTTTGGTTTTAGCTTCAGGATTTAGAGTTACATAGGTGTTTGGGGAGGGATGAGCTTAGGGTGGGAAGGTGCAGGAAGTGGATCTAAGGTTAAGGCCAGGAATTTGGTGTTTGGGATTAGATTTTAGCTTCAGGGTTTAGGGTTATAGGTGTTTGGGGAGGCACAAGCTTTTTGGGAAGCTAGAGGCCAACATAAAATTGACGAGCTGCCGTTCTTGGCTTTCTCCCCCATGCGTTTGATCTCAATCGGTGTCTTTGGAGATTCTTAGTGAATAGCAAAGCACAAACTTGCCCAGCAACATATGTAGAAGCGTCCAAGCCCCAGGCCACGAACCGAGCGGTAGTACCGCATGTATCTTGCATGAGCGGCCTTTTTTCTCTTAATCAGCTCATCTGCTTTCTTTTGTTCCTGTGCTGTGAGTTCCTCCTGCTTCTTGTCTTCATCTGTTCCCTGCTTTGTGTCTTTTCCTTCATCTTCTTGGGGCTTGGTGGCTTCTGGGTCTTTGCTTTCTTCGGCTTTGTCTTTCTTATCCTCCTTGTCTGAGGCCTGCATGGCCTCTTGCTTCTGTTCTTCAGCGGCTTGGGTCGGGACAATCTGCGATGCCTCCGGTTTAGGCTCCTGCCCTTGATCAGCTTGGGACTTGACTTCCGCAGCTGGGGTCTCGGCAGGTTTCAACTCAACTTGGGCCGGTGCCTCTGACCCCTCAGTGGGGCTTGTCACTGCAGACCCAGCCCGGTTTGGGCTGGGCGTAGATCCTGGAGTAGTCGATTCCGACTGCATGACCTTGGTGCTCGGGGTCGCCGCCTGCGCGAACTTTGTCTCGAGATCCTGAGCAAGCTTAACCAGATCGGGGATCCGATCAAAAGTCCTCAGCCGCTCAAGTGCTTCCACTACACCTGAGTCTAAGTCTGACTCGCTGGTGTTGCTCCTACGGAGAGCCTTTTGCGGAGTTTCCACCGCCTCGGTTCCAGGCTCTGACTCCCATGACGAACGCCTTCGCCTCCACGAGCCGTGCCAGTGGTTGGCCCAGCCATCATCATGCCCCGCCTGGTACCCCCAGCCCCACCACGAGCTGGACTGCCAATCTTGGCTGTCCGGTCCACCAGCAGCAGTAGCGTAAGTTTCCGGCCATGACCTGGCTGACCAGTTTGCTTCCGCAGCTTCAGGATTCGGGACAACAGGACCGACGGGTCCCTCGACATCTGCATCTTTTGGCCGGCTTTTTGTCTCATCAGTATTCTTTGCTTCGTTGTTGTTTGCGGGCTTGATATCTTTCTTTTTCCCTGTTGCTTCTCTTTCCTGAATCTTTTGCTTCTTTTGCCGGGGTTCGGCAGCCTTTGTCATAGCTTACGGGAATTGAAGAATAGCATCGTGTTGCAATGAATAAGATTATTGCCTTAATCTGCTCCGGGTCTATTTGCGTCTCGATGGAGTCTGGGCTGTGACCTCAAACAGGTATTGCCGAAGAAACAATCTACTCAATAGAGCAATGCTATGCAGCTGAGGCCTAGACGCAAAGGACCTTTCTGAGGATTCCTGGGGATGCCAGAACAAATGTAACTCCTGAAAAGCGTGCTAACTACTCTAAAGCCACGGCTAGGCTGCTGGCAATCCAAGCGGTGAGGCAGTGGCACCCTCAGAAGTATCTCCCAAAATCTTTCGGGCCCTGGCATTGGCCTTTGCCAAAGCCTGTTCTACGGCTGAAGAGGGCATTTCTTGCCTTTCAACCGATTACAAAAGCCTAAGATTGCCAAAATGGCTGCATTCATCGGTTTAACATCAGCTAGATTGGGCTTATGCCGAGTGGGTTTTGGACTCACGAGTATATAGGGATCTCTTACGGGTATAGGGGGACTCGTCACGGGTATTGGGGTCCTTTCACGCTCAGCTCACGCTCGTTCACGCTCGGCGTTTTTCATGGGCTAGTGCACTATCGCCAGCACTGTCTCGAAACACGTCTTTTGCGAGCCCTGGTCACAACTACTCATCCTTATCATCATCAATGTGTTCAAAACAACTAATCAAACCGTTCGATATAGCTTAAATATTGTGCACGGACTCACAAACCCTCTAGAGACATCGGCCGGAAGGAGCCCTCCTTCACCCGAGCTCGCAGAAACGCTCTCAATTTGCCAAGGTCTGCCATCTTCCACATTTCATCCGGTATCATCGCCTGCTCCACAGATGGGCTTGTGTAGAAGGGCTTGCTCACAGGGAGTTAGCTTGAAGTTTTTTGGCATCCACTGCCTCCTTAGGCTGCGGTTGATTGACAAATTCAGCTAGATGAGCTCGGAAGAGAAACTTCTTTTTCTCCTGCAGGGGATATGGACTCTGATTATATAGGCTTTATAAGACAATATTAATAGGAATCCCAAAGACACCATTGCCGAGAAGGTTTTAGTAGGTTTTATATGAAAAAACCAGGTAAGACTAGACTTGGTCGGGTCCTAGACTGAACAGATGATCCCGAGTCCTGATAGACCTTGTGCTCAAGCAGAATCTTTCTCGCGTAGCCTCTAGGGTAAATCTGTGAGGATCGCAATTTCCAAGATCCTGTCCTGGGAAGCACGAAATAAGACCATTAAATAGGGTTTAGGGGTTTAGGGGTTTCAGGTTTAGGGGTTTAGGGGTTTTGGAGTTTTGGGATTAAGGGTTTAGGGTTTAGGGGGATAGGGTTTATTTAGGGTTACCTCAGCTACAGTTGGTGCAAAGGCTTGGCGGTTTTGCCGAGATTCTCAACATTTCCACAAACTTCCTCTAAACCCCTGAACCCTAAACACCTAAAGCCCTAAAGCCCTAAAGCCCTAAAGCCCTAACCCGTACATTCCTAAACCCCTAAATCCCGAAACCCCTAATCCCTAAAGCCCTAAACCCCCAAACTCCAAAACCCTTAAACCCCCAAGCCTAAACCCCTAAACCCCTAAACCCCTTATCCCCTGAACCCCTAAACCCTTAAACCCTAAACCCTTGAACCCTAAACCTCTCACGCCCTAAACCCCTAAACCCCTAAACCCCTAAACCCCTAAAGCCCTCCACCCTCAACCCTCAGTTTCGGGCTCAGGGTGTCTGGTTTGAGAGGACACCGGGCTTCAGATTTTGGGGCTTTTGGTTTCTGGGTATCGGAGGATAGGGTATGGTCTGCTTCAGATTCAGTCGTTGGGGCCCGCACACACAAGCTTTCCCATTGGCATCGACATGTCGCTTGACCATTCCCCAAGAGCAAAGCCCCAAGGATCGACGTCTTGTCTTCGTCATTTTTTGTAGAGTGTTCGACTCCATGGACTCAGCACAAGATGAAAGTAATACTACAACCCATGTGGAAACCCAGCAGCTTGCTAAGGCTTCGGCCAAATGGACATCGACAAGCTGGGCTTGGCGCAGAAGTGGCCCCAGCTTCCCATCCAGCTGAGACATTTGGGAACTAGATAAGGCTAAGGAGTTCAACATATTGCAAAGGGCTTGTCAAATCTGCACGTAAGAGCCGGACAATCTCGTTTGTAGGCAAGGGAGGCCAATGCGTTCCATTATATTCTCCAGGAAGAGGAAGAGAGGATCATGAATCACAGTCGTGCTTCGCGGCTGTTCTATAATCCAATATACCGATCTCGCAACACAGATCATCAATAGTAGCATTGTCCTGGCAGTGATCCTTAGAATGAATCCATCTGTCTACACACCGACAGAACTCAAGCCTAACTGGTATGCATGAGACGATGACACAAACCTAGTGTGCAAGGAAGCCACTTGTTTGCACGACGGATGTACGAGAAGCGGGTATCTCCATATGGATTCCATTTGCTGCGCTTGTGCACAGCCTGATTCATCCACACATAGGACGTGCAAGGCAAACCGACCGAAGCCAAGCCGTCTTCCATTAAGCGGAGACATAATCGACCGGCATTCAGAAAGCCTGCCCTCGGCTCGCATAGGCTCTGCGGGGCCACGGATGTTGAAGTTCGTTTTGAGGCCGGATTGGGCTTCAGGGTTTAGGGTTTTAGACTTTCGGGTTTCAACGACTACGTGGTTGGAGGATTGTGGATGCTTGTTAAGGGTATTCCTAGTTTAGTGGTTTGGGCTTAGACTTTAGGTCTGGCTTTGAGATGTTTGAAGTTTATGTGCCCTGTTTGGTCGTCTAGCAGCAACGACTTGCATCGCTTGATCAGGTCAAGTCCGGACTCTGTTAGATCGTCCGAAGATTATATTGCTATCGCATAGCAATCAAAATGCTTAAGCAGTCTAGTGAATGAACAAGAACCGGACCCCTGAAAGCACAAGCAATACAACTTCATAAGGCTTCAAGAGTCAGGCTCAGCATGTCCTGCTCCTTGTCGTACATAATATCAAAATAGGCACTGAGCAGGACAAAGAGCACGAAGTCGCCCAGCTGTTGCAGCAACTAACATGCACACCCCCGCCGGCCTCTTCTGATCATCTCGACCTAGTGCTGGTTGATTAGGAGTAAGATAAGAATATGAATTATCATTTGATAGTTTAAGTAGCAGCGCATAAAAGCAATTATAAGGTCCCAGCAGAAGGCTCTGTATAAAGCTCCCTGGCCAGCATAGAGATCTAGCAGCTTCAGGTCCTGAGGTCTTCTGTGCTATGCTTCATAAAACCAACATCTCTGCTAATACTCAGAGCCCGGCCCTTTGCGCATTGGGAGAATCAAGAGGGGTCTGCTGTGCCAGAAAATCGCACATGTGAATCCTCCCAGCATATGATCTGGTCGACTCGATGCTAGGAATGATACACGAGCATGAGAGTAAGGCCCTTACATCAGCATTGGAATCCCCATGAGCTTCAGGGCGTGAACCGCACATGGAGACAAGGCTAGCGGGCTGCTTGTCCAAGCTTCTTGAGGCATGGTTGCGAGACTCCCTAAGCCCTGAGCCAAACAGGTCCCTGAATAAGAATGGCAAAAGGGCAACATCACATCCTGTCATGCGTGCCACAAAGAATATGCGAAGTGACTTCTCGAAGTTTTGCGTGACAGGTGCAGCTTCGAAAGCTGTTGCTGGCAGTGAAAGTCACGGCCCCATCTGCATCGGTGTAGATCAAGCAACTCTGGGATTTGGGACGGGGTGAGGGATTGTTGGTTAAGTAAGATAATCTGGACACAGCCCACGTGAGTATTACAAGTAGTTATTCAACAGACAGGGAGATATGCAAAATTTCAACAGCCAGTTTCTAAGACCTAGCTGCTTTCAGCTTCAGCTCGGAGCAATCCATCCCGCCAACATGCGGGCGTGCCGGTACCTGGGCTCGGGGCTTGCTTATGGAAGGGAAATAGTTCTCGGGTTGTCGTCGAACTCAAGAAAGACTGAGGACGTCTCGCTTTGATAATCTTCTTGCCCCAGGAGACACAGATTTGATCTTTCTTGTCCATCTGTGAGGGTTTAGGGTTTATAGTTTCGGGAAGGTTTAGAATATTAGGGTGTGGGGTCTAGGAAACAATTACGACACCACCCCTAATCCCTAAACCCCTAAACCCTAAATCCCAGCCTTGTAGCTGGTGTCGCACAGATCGTTGACCTTCGCCAATATATCCTCATCTCCCTGTTTGACATAGAACTGCCCAGCCATGATCACCTGGATCGTGGAACACTCGGAAGTGTCCTCGTGAGTGCCTTGTTTAGGCGGCCGCAATGTGAAGGAAGAGCCCTTCTTCAGAGTGCTGGGAGGCGGGAGAATGAATTGCTTCTCAGTGTTGTTCAGAAGCTTCAGCTGCTCCACTTTTGCACGTCGCAAGTCCTGCAGACCGAGCATCTTAGGGTTTTGATAGGGTTGGACAATTACCAAACGGCAAGATAATTTGTAATCGGGTATCCTCAGACAGCACCTTTCCTGCCCTCCTCGGTGGCCCAGCAGGATAAAACGTAGGCCTTGTGGGATCCTGGCAAAGAAACAAGACACACATTATTGCAATCTCCGAAACACACACGAACACACGTAGCAGTCTACAGAGCCTCTCCGGTATCCTGTTCCTCTTCCGATTCATTTTCTTGCTGTTCTCCTTCATCGTCTTCGCTTGTAGATTTCATTGCCTCCTCTTCTGATTTGCTCCTCTTCAGTGGCTTCAACATCCTATTCTTCTTCTTTGTTGGCTCTGTCTCTGAAACCGACTCCCATAGCGAGTCCGCATTGGGGCTGTGGCTGGGGTCCCTCTTCCGGGCTGGCTTGGAGCTGCTGGGGCGGGCCTTTGGGCCTTTCTTAACTTTGGGCTTTCTTGGGGGATCTTCGGAGCTCTCCTCCCGGGCGCGGGCATCCTTCTTCTCAGGGCTCCTGCCGCGCTTCTTCGACTTTTCCTTCTCCTCGTCGTCATCCTCTGAAGTTGTGGGCCTTGCTTTTGCCTTGGATTTCGCCTTGGACTTTGCTTTTGCCTTGGCTTTCGCTTTTCCCTTGGCTTTGCCCTTAGGCCTTCCTTTGCCCTTCCCTTTCCGTCCAGCTCCTGCCTCATCATCGGAGCTCGGCTTGTCATCCGGATCATCATTTAATCCTGGTGGCTCATGATTGTTGTTCGCACGTCGAAGCATCGCCCTGGTCGCTTGCTGAGCCTGATTTATCGACATCCCGGCTTCATCAAAATCTAAGCAACAAGCATCTGCAGGACGACAGGCCTTGATGATATTCGCAGCATCAGGTCCAGCCAAACCTGTCCTTGCCGCCTCGACGTTCAAGCTTGCCAAGAAAGCAGCAGCCTGCTCTTCGAAGGTTGCGGGAAGCTCGCAGAGGGGGGCTCGGTCCTGCAAAACTAAACTCATCAAAAAGCTACTATGGTTGCGAAGTGAATCCACATATATCGAATTACTGTAACCAATCAATCTAAAGCTCCTCGAACACACCATTGGCTTTCTGAACCTCGTCGGCTTCATCCAAAGGGCCTACTCGGGCTTCGCGTTCGCCTTCCCGCTTGAAGCACTCGAGGGATTCCTCGAGGAAAGATTCAGATGGTGGAAGCTGAGAATCAGTACCGGTATCCACAATAATCTGCTCCGGCTCCTTCGTGCCATCTGGCTGCGGATCTTTGGAGCCTGCGGCCCTGACTTTGTTGAGGTCCTTGGGATCTTCTTCCTTTTCTACAGAGCCTTCTGCCTTCTTGCCTTTGGGAGCCTCCCCCTTTACCAGCTTTTGTTTTGGATCCTTGGTTTCCCCTGCCTCCTTAGAACCCTTCTTGCCTTTGGAAACCTCCTCCTTTACCGAGGCTTTCTTTGGATCCTTGATTTCCACTGCCTCCATAGAATCCTTCTTTCCTTTGGGAACCTCCTCCTTTACCGATTCTTTCTCTGGATCTCTGGTTTCCCCTACCTCCGTGCAATCCTTCTTTTCTTTGGGAGCCTCCTCCTTTCCCGAGTCTTTCTCTAGATCTTTTGGCTTCTTCTCTGCCTCCGTGGAATCATCATTTTCCTTGGAATTCTTCTGAGATTTCTGGTCCTCCTCCGTTTCCGTATCTTTCTCTGAAACTTTGCAGCTATCTGCCTTTCTGGTTTTTGTAGCCTCCTCCTTTACCACATCTTCTTCTTCTTCCTCTATCTCTTCGTCGTCATCTGCTTCCAGTTCCTCTTCCTCCCCATCTTCTTGCTCTTCCATCTCCGCACCATCATATTCATCATCCTTTTCATCTTTCTCTTCTTTTTTCTTCTGCGCCTGCAAATAAAAAAGATAGAACAGAATCAACGAAAACAGAATCTACAACGTTCCGACAAATACGAGAAGAATATTTGTGCCTGACCCTTCGGCCGAGCTGTCCTTACCATCTCCTTCAAGATGTCCAGGTTCGGAAGATTCGCCCTGAAGAATTATGAGAACTAGCACAGTGTTTGCAAATATACAATCTGTAGGCCTCGTATTGTCACTCTTGCGTGTCCGCAGAAGGACGTAGCTCACCATAGATCTTTGAACCTTTGCTTCTTCTTCAGCCCAAGCCTTCCGAAACAAGAGAAGCAAACATAGTGTAGCAGCAGGCACTCCCAGGCCTCTCGCATCGGCTTCTCATCAGCCTTCTTCACCAAAGGATATTCACCGCTCAGCTTCATCAGCTTTTAACCAAAGGATATTCACCGCTCAGCTTCATCAGCACGGCCTTTCAGGATTCAGATATTTTTGCTAGGGAAATATTTCAATTGTCACAAAGTACAAACTTGCCGGTGCGACTACTTGCTCCTTGTACGTAGGCAGAGCTTTTGCAAAGGCCGCCAAGAATCCCAAAAGGAACTCGAAGTTGGCCAGACCGTGCGGCTCTTCGACCTCGTAGCTGCATCCATAAATCTATTTTACTTTCTGAGTAGTCATTCTATCTAAGGTTTGCACGAAGTCGGCTTCCAGCTTTTTTTTTTGGGAGCATCCACCCAGGAAAAGTCGAAGGGTGCCTTTACAGATGTATGGTATAAGATTGCAGCAGTAGCTTGAAACCAACATTCGGGCCTTGTTGCTGTCTAGCTTTGCTTGAACTTTCTTTGCACTCATACACCTTCTTTCTCGGCCATAGCTTGGAAATTTTTCTCGCGCAGAGCCTTCCAAGATACCTTTTCTTTATAAAGCTCCTGATCGATCAAAGGAAAGATTTTGCACAAGCAAGTGACAAAGACATAGACACAACTGACCGCCAGGTTCCTCCAGAACGGCCATTCGCTGGGCATCTTTTAGCACCGTCGGCATGGCGGAAGAAAAAATCCCTTATGTGTTCTTAGCGTGCTAGCTGCATAGCTACATATGCATCGAATATCCTGGGACCTCCCTCCTCGGGGCCTAAATATTGCACCAGAGACCAAGCACTCTGCCCGCAAAGAACCTTCAAGCCTGTGCACCCTACAGAGAGCCCGGGTGAAATCCATCTAGGAATTAGGGGAAGACCTAAAGAATAATTTGATAATTTGGGATTTGGGGGTGCAGAATATCTCGCAGAGTGATTTCGGTAAAAAATTAGTAAATCTATCCGGAAATCTTGAGCCCATAACCTTTCCCCTCAATCCTAAACCCCTAAACCCTACCAAATGCAAGCCGCCAGCAGAAAGGGAAGGGGCGGACTCGATTCATCTTCACGAAGTCTTCTGGTACCTGTCACGACTCTGGAGGGATTGCGGCTTTTGGGTTCTATTCGTACAGGGGGGGGCGCACGTTGTCGAAGACCCCGCAACATAGATCCATGGCCCACGAGCAACCCTGCAGCACAGACCTGTTTCCTTAAGCGATGCTTTCTGAGAGGAGTGGGTATGAAATCATGTACCCTTATGGATTTTAGGGTGTAGGGTTTTAGGGTTATGCTGCACGTTTCCGTGCGGACGGCCTGCAATCCAGGGCTTGTAGCTGGGACCTCCAGGTTTTAGGGCTTATTGGATTTAGGGTTTTTTAGGGTTAAAGAGCTCGAGGACTTGGGGTTTTCGGGGTGTAGGGCTTTAGGGTTTTTAAGGTTTATAGGGTTTAGTAAGCTTAGGGTTAGGTTTGTGGTTTTTTAGGGTTAAAGAGCTCGAGGATTTAGGGCTTTCGGGGTGTAGGGCTTTAGGGTTTTTTAAGGTTTATAGGGTTTAGCAAGCTTAGGGTTAGGTTTGTGCCTCATAATAGGACTGCGCATGCCTTCTAAGACTAGGATGCATCACCTATCTTCGTCTATTTTTGAGCGGTGCAGCTTTCACGGGTACATGGGGATCCTGGACAGAATTGGAGGACTTTAGCGGGTCCGCCGAAACGAGGGCTTCTAGACGCCCAGGGTATATATATATATGTATATTATGCATATGTATATGTATATGTATGTATGTATGTATGTATGTATGTATGTATGTATATATATATATATATGTATATATGTATATATGTATATTATGCATATGCATATGTATATGTATGTATGTATGTATGTATGTATGTATGTATGTATGTATATATATATATGTATATATGTATATATGTATATTATGCATATGTATATGTATATGTATATGTATGTATGTATGTATGTATGTATGTATGTATGTATGTATGTATATATGTATGTATGTATGTATGTATGTATGTAATTATATATATATATATATGTAAAGTCTGTACACGCATATACGTATGTGTGTGTGTGTATGTATGTATGTATGTGTGTGCATATATATATATATAGATAAACAGATGCTTCTACTGTTGCTAAGTCCTCCGAATCCACAATATTACGGGGTTCTGCACTCCCACCGTCCTGGATCGTCCAAGGCTCCCCGTGCACAGCACATGCCTGGAGACGTACACCGATGTCGTGTGATTAAGGTTTAGTGCACAGGGTTTGGACTAAGGTCCAGGGTTTATGGGAGTCGTTGAGTATAGCCAGCCATTTCGGGCTGGGAATCTTTTTTTTTAAAGTGCTACGGGACTTTCTCTCCGCAGATCAAGCCACAGCCCTCAGGGCCAAGCACTCAGGAAATCTTCAGGTGTTGGGGTACAAGGGTTTAGAGGGCTGGGGGCTAAGATTCAGGGTTCATTTATTCAAGTGTGGTGTGGGTGTTGTGCTGTGTTTTGTGCGTCTTTGCCATGAGGAAACACCCACGCAAAAGCCCTAAAACCCTAAACCAGGGACCCTAAACAAGGTCGAGGCTTCTAGACATATTTCGGGTTCGGGGCACCATCGACATTCGAGGGTCCAGATATGAAGGCCGGGGCACCCTAAACTGCAAAATGCATAACAACACCGAAATGGGACATTACAACAAGAACATGATCATGACAATTTTAAGGATAATTCTGCTGATACAGAGCTATATAGTATGATAACAACCATGATGGCAATAAGCATAATGATAATCATGATGGAGTAATAAGCAACTGTCAAGGCAATACGGTTGATGCTCGTCATGTTAGTAATGATAATCATAATAGTCTAGCTTGGCCCTGTAATGCAACTGGGCAATGTTCGTAGATGAGATCCTCTGCGGTCCAAATGTCCCAAAGCCTATCTACGTAGTACTGATGTAATAAAGGGGCCTTAATGATCAGAACAGGGTTTGGGGGCCCATTATACTATCATTATAATAAG